TATACAACTTTATTAGGCTAAATTAGTTACTAATAAAAATAATGAAATTTAAAATCATAATTACGAATATAAAAATATCAAATAATAGATAAAATTAACTTTAAAAAATAAAATTTAATTAAAAAAATTAAAAACCTTAATTTTTTTATTATTAATAAATTTCTTATTACTTTTTTATCTTAATCTTCAAGAATATCTAAAGAAAGTTGTCACTGACATTATTTTCAATTTTGATATTAAATAAATATTTATAAGATTTTAAAAAACTTAAATAAAATAGAAGTGGAACCACACCACAATTATGTGAAGAGTTGCTAAAATTACCCAAAGGGTCGATCCCCAAAACGACGTTTGGACACCTTTACTAAATCGGTGAATGGGAAGCCTGCGTCGGGATTTTGGCCTTTAAAGTAATCTGGTTAATGGAAAAATAGGAGTCTCGGTCCCCAACTTCTGGATTCCACTCAATGTAATCCTCATGTTTCTGATGTCCACCTGCATTTTGATCCTGAAAATTATGATTTTTTTTTAATTAAATTTTGTTCTGCTCATAAAATAAAAACTATGTAAAATTAAGTAAAATATTATAAAACTTATTTAAATATTAATAATATTAAAAAAAATTCAACATTAATATCTATAAAATTCTAACTTAACCCCAACAAAACTTTTTACTCATATACGGCTCATAACAAGTAAAAGATGGGAGTACTTGATTCGAGTATGGTAACTGGTTAAACTATCATCCCTTGGAATGCGTAAAATCTTGCAAGATAGAAGCGGACTAATTAAATGTGGGGAGTAATACCGGCTAACTGGCCAAGGAGATGATGCAGAGGGGATTTCTTATTGGCTGTCACAGTCCATATTTTTTACTTGTCATGTAGCAGCAGAGTCAAAGGAATGCTTTAACTGCTGGGATATTAAGATATTAAGTAGGCAACAACGTATCTGGTAGAGAGTTGAGGTGGGATCCTGGAGAGGGGTGGGAGCAACCCTAAATTAAAATAAATAATGTCAAAAATTAAAGATTAAAAGATAATTTCCTGCTTTCCCTCCTCCCTCCCTAGGTCACCGCCTGCATATAGCAACAAGACTTGGATCTGAGACCAGATCTGGACAGCTATATTATTAAACAACGGCTTTGGAGAGTGTTTTACGTTGGATTTTGTAAAAACCCCACTTTTTTTTTTTTTTTAGAAAGAGGAGATCTTTATTAGATCAAAATATACTGGAATAGAGGAAATGCGGATCATGAAATGCCACCTCCAAGTTCTACCCATTCTTGTTGAGCTCAATAATTATTATGAAATCATTTTCAAAGAAAAAAAAATATTATGAAATCACCTTTAGAAACCCAAGATGAGCAAACGAAACTATGAGAAAAAGAGAAAAAAGAGAAAGTGAAATTCCTATGAGAAAATCTTAGGAGACAAATAGGTCATTTAGTAAAATTTAAAAAGCATTTATTTTAAAAGTATTATTCTCTCATAAGTTTAACATTTTATTAGAAAAAACACTTGAAATTAGTTTTTTAAGTAAGTTTTAAGTACGTTTTCTAAAAAGTTACATATATAAATATTTTTAAAATTCAGCTAAAATTTATTTTAAAAAATAATTTTTAAATTTATTTCTAATTTTTTTTTTAAACATTTTGTCATGGGACCGGTTCGAACCATTGTTTTGAAGAAAGAGGATATGAACCTTACAAGCGTGGCTAGAATCACTTGACCCGAAGGGTTAGGTTCAAATTTATCTCTAATAAAATTTTAAACTTATGAGATACAAATAAGAATTCTAGGAGGTGTGTCCCATGAGAGGAAATAAAAGCATGTAAAATGAAATTTCTCATTGTTCTCCTGAAAATTAAAAAAGAGATGAAAATTTTATCTATTGGGGCACGCTTAACAAAAGAACTTTGTTCTTAGCACCAAACTTGTTCTCTTTCCGTTGTTTATCATTTAAAAACAATTTTCAAGGCAACCGCCCCTTCGATCTCAATAATTTGTTATAAAATTTTAATATGGCAAAAATATGACATAAGGACCTAAACTTACACATAATTCACAATTTTGGATCCAAACTTCAATTGCACTCAATTAAGGTCTCAATTGGACGGAAAACTAACTTCCATCAAATCTCCTATTAACTCCGTTAATGTCTGTCACACTCCACCTGCCACTTGAAAAAAATTATGTTGATATGTCATTATTTTGCCATGTGGATGCCATGTAAACATGATTTTATGGCTCCACAAACCGTTGGTGGGCCTTTTGGTCTTTTTAAGTCAGGATATTCACAAATTAGGGATAAAATCCCCAATTTTAACCAACTTCATTCTCCATTCATGGCTTAAGGAGATCTGGAAATTTCTCATCCTTCATTCTTCAAAACACAATGAGATCTTGAAATTTTTCATCCTTCATTCTTACCTCCTTGCAATTTCTTACCAATCTTGAAATCCTTTCTAATTTCTATCTTGAAATATCTGTTTGAAATAGGGGAGGAGAAGGCCGAGGCAGAGTTTAAGGCAGAGTTGTAGCTGGCTTAATTGGTGTTCAATAACCTTTTTAAGAGACAACAAATATAGGCCAGGGTGGAGGTGGAGGTGGAAGTAGAGAGGCAGGGGTGGAGGTTTAGGTGCAGGTGAAAGCGGAGAGGCAGTGGTGAAGGTGCAGGTGGAAGTAGAGAGGCAAGGGCGAAGGTGCAGGTGGAAGTGAAGAGGTTTATGAAAGCGAGAATGAGTGTAGGACGCCGAGGAGGGAGGCGTGTCGGATACCAAGAGTCCCTCTATGTCCACTGGCACCGAAGAAGAAGAAAGAATCGGTGTACGTGAAGCGAGACCCGCTTAAGAATGGATTCTTTCAATCACCTGAGCTTGAGGCTCTGTTCGCCATAGATTTTAATGGAGAGAATCGAGAGATTTTAATGGGAGGGAAAGAAAAAGTTGTTAGAAAAAAATGTCTTGGGGGAAATATCCCGACCAAGACAATCCATAAAATCATGTCTACATGGCATCCACGTGGCAAAATAATGACATATTAACATAATTTTTTTCAAGTGATGTTCCAATTGGGTGGAGCGTGATGGATGGAGTTAATATGAGATTTGACAGAAGTTAGTTTTTCGTCCAATTAGTATCTTATTTGAGAATTGTGTGTAATTTGAGATTTTAATTGAGTATAATTGGAGTTTAGGTCCAAAATTATAAATTATGTATAAATTCAGATCTTTATGTCATATTTTTATTTTTTAATATTTGATTTTAATTGATTTAGAGTTTTACTTCCATAAATGACCTTATAATTTTTCAGGTTAAAGAAAAAACAATTTTCAAGGGGAGGTTGCATGTAAATTGACTGACATGCTGTCAGACAGTGCGGATATTTGATGTCACAGCTGCCTCTTTTTGTGAATTTTTTAATTCAAATTTTTTCATTTAAAGGAATTAAATAAAATAATAAAAATAAAAGTTTTGAGAAAAATTAATTTAAACAAATGAATTGGAGATAATGTGTTTTGTTTTAGATGTTTTATTTAAGAATTAAATATTTAAAATATAAATTTATATAAAATAT